ACCCTAAAACAAGCAAAAGGTCCCCAAGTAATATATCTAGATAGGATTTCAGGGATTGCATCCTTTTATGTTATAGAAAGCCTTTTAGTTTTAGTAACCGGGCCACTTGCTTCCTTAGGTTTTTTGACTAAGTCCCCACGTTTGCATCTGCAGCTGCACGTTATGTAACCTGTCCTGCAGCCACCAGGAATGCGTGAGTTCTTTTTTCTTTTTTGAGACAGGGTTTTGCCACGCAGTTCAGGCTGGTCTTGGGCCTGCCTTGTAGCCCAGGCTGGTGTCGCAACAGTCCTCCTGCCTCAGCCTCTCGGGTGCTGGGATTACAGGGGTGCACCACCATGATTTTATTTATTCATTTAAATTTTTTTGGCAGAACCAGGGATTGAACTCAGGCCCTTGCACTTGCCAGGCAATGATTTTATTTCTCAAACTGTATCTGCTGATAAGTGTGTGGAGAAACGGGGTCTTGTCCTCTTCTAAGGAGAGAACAAAATGCTTGTTCATACACCAGCAGGGTCAGCCGTCTCCCAGGTATTTGCATAAGCGAAATGAAATCTCACGTTCATACGAAAGCCTGTATATCAATATTTATAGTGACTTTATTCCTAATTTTCCCAAATGAGAACCAGCCCAATCGATGCCCCAAGAATGGGAAGCAGATGATCGTGCTGAGGTACTGTGTACCCTGAAATCCCACTCTAGCTTGGACGCCCACTAGGTAAGGACACAGCCGCTGTACGAGCACCCGAGGGGCACGCCACGGCCACGGCTAAAGGAAAGACAGGACTCCGAAGGCTATCCCCCTAGGATTTCCTCCTGCGCATCCGGAGATGGACAGCTCTGGGACAGGGAAGCAATTGATGCTTACACGTGGCCGAGGTGGGGAAAATGGGGCCGGGAGGGTGGGGCAGCTCGCTAGGGCAGCAGCGCGTGCGCTCGCGTCTCCACACCGCAGTGCTGAAGGGCAGGTATTACTGCATGGAGGTTAGACCCACATTTTTTTTTTTTTTTTTTTTTTTTAGCAGA